ACTACTGCTGCTACTACTGCTGCTGCCACTACTCCTCTTACTGCTCCCGCTGCTCCTACTTCCACTGCTCCTACTCCTACGGGTACTACTGCCACTACTACTACTACTACTACTACTACGACGACGACTACTACCACCACCACCACCACCACGACGACTACTACTACTACTACTACTACTACTACTACTGCTACTACTACTACTACTACTACTACTACGACGGCGTCGGCTGCTGCTAAGACTGCGACGACGACTATGACGACGACGAGGACGACGACGACTACTACTGCTACAATGGCGGCTTTGTGCGGCGGCAGCCGGGCATGAAGCCCTCAGACTTAACAGGATTGGTATATCGAAGCCTTGAGCACATCTTTTTCCGAAATCCTCAGGCTTTGGCTCTTCCACGGCACCCGGGAATCAGCTGCAGAGTCGATCACGGAGAACGAATTCCAGGCCTTCTGGACTTGCGGCATCCGTTTTTCATGGGGGAGGGTAGGGAGTGGGTCGGCAGATTCTAGCGCGCATCGGGGCAGAGGGCCTACGGGAAGGCAGGCTCTTTTTGCTTAGAAGGTTTTCTCCGTGCGAGTTTCGGGACATGGGAGACCCTAATTTAGTCCCTGACTGCAGAACCCTTAGCCTTAGTAGATCACGTAACTTAAGAGGCCACTAGTGTGAATCCCTAAATCTTGAGTGCCTCACGACGAAGGCTATGCACATCTGGGGTATCGGATTGCATTCGTGAGCTGCGAGGGGCTCATGTTCACCGCAACCCCTTGGAACCTATGCTCTTGGAAAGTCGGGGGTTTCGTGACTTTCAGAAAACGTCCGTTTAGGTTCACTGGTTGGTCGTTGTCTCCCGCTGTTTTAACCTCGTTGTGGATGGGTTTGGGCAAGTGACGGCAAGTGCGTATGCCTTATATGGATAGGTTTGGGTTCACCGCATGCAGCCCGCTAGAAGCAACGGGCAAATCCCGAACCCCACCTATATCCTCTAACCTGTCCACACACGTTTGGCGCAGCTCGTCAACCAGATGCCTCTACCCTCCCTTGACGCCTTAAGCCCAATATCTGTTTGCAGTTGAAGATGGCGGGCACAAACCGTGGGACCATGTTTGGCCCGGGGATCTACATGGCCGACGCGGTTCGGGCCACAGTACCTGTGGAGGCCGCAACTTGCTACCGCCAGTCCCTACCACAAACTACACCGGTAGATGATACTCTATGCCGCGTAAAAGGAATGCTGCCGCTTCCAGAAGCTGGTTCTCTAGAGTAGCGTTTAGGGCTTCAAGTTGGTTTATAAAGGGGTCATACACCTGCTTCCACAAGGTCACGAAGAGCGACGTGCCTTGCCCCAAGCAGACGAGGTTCGGCGTGGAAAGGACAAGATGAGTTGAAGATTGTAGATATCAGGGGTGTTCTACAGGGCGGCCTTCCTGTACACTATGAAGCCTATCGCCTTTCCTGCAATGGAAGTTCTGGCAGTTCGCCCGTGAAGGGGTCCTGCATGCGAATCCTTGAGCTACGAGGTGACTGCTTAGGCAGTTCTACATCTTAGTAACCGTCCCTGTTCGGGTCCCCAAGAGAGTGAGTACGCCACTCTTCTTATGCAAGGCCTCAGTTGCAGGTGCGTAACTCCACAGGCTCCAAAAAAAGGGGGCGAAAGAATAAACCCGAAACCCAAACCCCAAAAGCCCTAACAAAGCCTCTTTGGTTCTATGGAGCCCTAAACTTCGAAAGGCTAACTGGGTTCTTGTTAAGGGATTTAATTCAAGTTACCATAATAAGGAAACCTTATTACTTACTATAGATCCCTATTATGGTAACTTAAATTAAATCCCTTAACAAGAAACCAGCTAAGGAGTACACCGAACCCGATCCGACTGGACTTCGGACCATGAAGCCGGGCGATGAAAGGTTCTTGAGATGGCTCAGGGTTTAGGGTCGAAGGTTTAATGTAAGGGCCTATTATTACCTGTACTATTCTGGAGGTTTCTTATTATAACTATAGTACAATATACCCCAAAACCCTATTCTACTTATTAAGGCCCCTACATTAGGCTTCTGGGGTTCGTAAGGTGGGGTTTTTGGGAGCGTAGGAGCTTCAGTGCTGTCGGGGGTTGGGGTTTAGGAGAGGCTTCTGTGCCGGGGAGGATTCCTGAAGGGTGGGGGCATGGAGTCATGGAGTCTTTAGTATACGGCTTTGGGTGTTGGAAAGATTTTTGGGGCTCGGGTTTCGAGTTTTCTGGTTTAGAGGTTTGGGGTTCTTCAGTGGTCCAGGCTTCGCAGGCGAAGTTGGAATCAGCTCGCGATCCAAAAGCACTGAGCCCCGAATCCCTAAAATCCTCAAACCACTTACCCGTATAGGAGCCCCACACCGTTCTTGCCTGTAGCAGCAGTAGAAGTAGGAGTAGGAGTAGGAGGGGGAGTAGCGGGAAGAGGAGGAGGAGGGGAGGGGAGGAGGAGGAGGAGTTGCAGTGGAAGTAGAGGTAGAAGGAGGTGCAGTCAGTAGGAGGTAGGCAGAAGCAGCAGCGGCAGCTGCAATGATAAAGCTGTCAACGGCTAGCAATGACACTTAGCCACAACGTTAGTGCTTGTGTGTGCATCCCCACCTGAACACCAAAACTTCGCTCCGAAATCAGCGACGAAACCCGAACGAGTTTAAGGATCCTTTGTCGCTGCACCATGGGCCGAGCAATCAAGCAGTTTGAGGGCGGGCGCGAGTGCATGAAGGCGGCGGAGGGGGAGGTCAGGGATTGGGGCTTTAGTGGTTGGAGATAATATAGGGGCCTAAATAATTACCAATATTTCTTTGGGGTTCCGTATTATAATTATAGTATATAATATATACCACCCAAAAAAAAAACTATTCTAATTGTTAAGAGGGCCGGATGAAGTCGGTGCTTTATGGACTTACTGAGGAGATGTGTTTGGGTTCCCACTGGGCGGAAGATGGTGAGATTAGCTGGATAAGCTCTCGTTGGGTGCATGGAAAGCTGCAGCAACAGCCTGGCTTTAGCCGAGTGAGACGCCCTTGGGCCGCCTTCGAATCCCAGCGAACCCTAAAGCTGGCCGCTGGGTATAGAATCAGAAACAGGAGATTTGCGGCTCCATGAGAGCCAGCACCGCCTTCCAATCCCTCGTTCGGGATTCTTGGGTCTGCTACGGGCTGCCTGCCCTGCACCCCATTCCAAGCCTTCCGGAGTTGGATGCCTTGACTGCTGCGGTCTGTCCGCCAGCACCCCCCTACCAGGCGATGGTTGTTCTTGATGGCGCTGGCTGCCTGAGGTTGACGGCTTTTGACCCACTGTTGTACTAATAAGAGTATTATTCGTACGAGCTAGGTCCCGCCACTTGAGCGACCACATGCAGCAGCACCGCCACTATCCGCCACTGCACGTTGATTGATTGGTTGGTTGGTTGGTTGATTGATGAATTGATGGATTGATTGATTAGTTGATTCACACACACACATCTATCCATAGTTGGGGACCCAGTTGGTTGTGTTCAGCGGCTTTTGCATGACACCCTTGCGAGATTCAGCAACATATTCATTACTCGGCCTAGTGAGCCTCGCACCACCGCTATATTGTTTTTTGTTGCTGCAGCTGCTACGACTTCTGCAGCTGTCACTAGGTGTATTCATCTTCTTACCAAATTTCTGGTGCTGATGCTGGCCATGTCAATGCTGCCACCACTGGGGTGTTTTGCCACGTTGAACTGGTTCTTAAGCCGTCAAACCAATGACCTCCACAGCATAGTCGCTCAGGTTCGGAAGACATGTGTAGGCAGCCAAGGTTGACTTAGGGTCGCCTGGGGTCGGATGGGCGCCGGAAGCCCTAAGCCCGAACACGCACACCCCGAAGCAGGCCTGCCATGCCGGTGGCTTCCACTCCGTCAAAGGGCTTCGTGCATACAATGCCCCGGCCTCGGCCGAAGGTTCATGGGTATTTCTGGGTCGTCCTTGGGGTTTGGAGAGGCGTTGTCTTCAAGGTCCTCCGCCCAAGATAATTGGAATAGGGTTTTCGGGTATAGTATACGGTAATTATAGTGAGGACCCCCCCCAATATAGTATAGGTAGTCATTAAGGTTGAAAACTCCATCGTAGTTCCTGTGGCGGTCTGGCCACACGGAGAAACCGCCTTCGGGGCGGAGGAGCTCTTGGAAGCTCTGCGGGCTGCTCTTTGAGCTGTAGGCCTCGCAAACTGCAGTTTCTTAACTTAATACAAAGTCACCTGATTCTCCCAACCTTCTACAGATTCCAAACTGCGGTTTCTTAATTTAATACAAAGTTACCTGATTACCAAAGTAATTCTGAAAGCTCCCAACCTGCTACAGATTCCAAACTGCTCCACCAAGATCACATCAAGGGGCTACCGCTGTTTGCAGTTTGCAGCCAGAGGTCTTCCCGCCTCAACGCGAAATCCTTCGACTGGCCGCACACTGACAAACCCTCAAGAGTTAGGCCTCTTACTGATGATCATTTTAGGAATAACGAGAGACAACAAGGAGCACAACTACAAGCACCACAAACAAGCGGCACTACTATCTACGAACCCATGATTGCTATTGCTGGTACTAGTACTAGTATGATGATTATGGTTGCCTGACTGACGGGTGAGGGTTTAGGCCCCTCTGTTTGCAAGGAGTACATCGTTTACGTGCCTCAGACGCATTGAAAGCTACAAGTCTCGCGCCTCCGTCCCTCCGCCTTTGCTGGGATGTGTGAGGCTTTTTGGAATTGGGAAATGGTAGGTAGCTTGTGCGTTTGAGTCGGTGAGAGCTTTGGGTTTCCAGCTGCTGGTATTGAGGGGTTGCGTTTGCTGATTGCAGCCTTGTGTGTTCCACTGATAACTCCAAAACCCTGGACCGGAGCTTTTTCAGCATGTTTCCAAGCACCGAGCCCGTAAACTGAAAGTGCCTTGCACCATGCATTGGAGGGTTTCTTTCGCGCAAGCATCATGAGGACGAGAACCAAGTGTACGCAGAGTACATAATCTGGTACCGCCGCGTGTACAACATCGAGTGATCTCGGGAGACGCGTTGAGACGGCATTTCGGGGGCAGTGCAGGCAATCCTGGAGATGAGTCGTTTAGGGTGACAGACCCCTGTAGAGTTTGAAAACCTAAACTATAAACTTTAGGCCCGGAGCCAGAAGTGCCTCTCTACCAGCAGCAAAAACAAGCATCTAACTTGGCTGGTCCATCACTACTTCGGCAACCCCATCCCTCCAGCACCTTCTCGAAAAGCAGATGGAAACAAGGGCTTGTCCATTTGAAGTCGAAGCATTGCCCACAATGACCGGGCGGTCTTGCTTTCGGCACCTCGCCGGAAGCAGGTGGGGCCCTCATGTTAATGGATGTTAATGGTGTGCTTAGACTCTAGGTTTAGACGTGCTAGGTTTGTGGGGTTTCTCCTAGGCCAGAGCTCTTCGAATTTGCGGCCGGCAGTCTGCAACGAATGCGCTTCCGGACGGAAATTGCAAGCGCAAGCACCAAAAACGACAGCAAGCCTACGAGATACCCCACAGCATTTTCAATCCTACTTGGAACATGCCGCCCAGCTCCTGCGAAGCAGAGATCGCTAGCCTGTGTTTGCGAACCGGGCGGGCATGATGTTGATATGGCTACGAAACTCTCGCTGAGCTTGTTGTTTCTAGTCACGGCCTTGGTTGAAAAGCCATTCTACCGACATGTGGTGAGAGTAGCTGGGATCGGTTTGTCGGCCCCTGGCCCAAGTTAATACTATCCATCATCTAGAGAGTTTCGGTCTAGAGAATTTCAGTGCCACGACGGACGGCACTGTCTCCAAGCTGTGGCGGCCTCAAGCGCGTGATGTAACTACGAGTGTAGACTCCAGATCGCTTTGCAGCCGTACACCACTGAATTCATTGAATACCTTGAGATATATAATACAGATCGTTGTGCGAAGTCTTTTGCGCCAGGCTTGCATAGTGCCCTCCGTGATCTCCATTCCCTGCAAGCGCATGCAGAGCGAAATCGAACGGTCGGATTCGTGGATCCATGCCAGAGAACCCACCAGATCCCGCAAAACTACATTGAAAAGCACTAACAGCAGGCAGGGCACGTGGGGCTGCGAAATCACGAGCTAGCTCGTCACCCTGTTCCTCACGCTTCTGCTTATATAGTTATGTATGTGAACATATTATAGAGAGAGAGAGAGAGCGAGAGAGACATATGTACGTAGGCATGCATCTTTGCATGCATACATGCATACATACATCCGCACACGTCTTTATGACATTTAACCATTACAGCGAGTATGGCCAATATGGAAGGCTGGGCGGCTGAATGACCGCTGCATCGGCTGGTGCGGCACTCCGGTTTGACGTGCTCCAGGGGTCCGGAGTTTGCCGAGGAGGATTCGGATTCCAGCAAGGCTGATGCCGGCTAGGGTTCTCTGCGCTGGGAGGTTAGGGCGTTTAGGCGACAAGTATTCCTGCACACGTGTTCCACTTCTCATGCTGCATCATGCTGCATGATAGCTCAAGCACGAGAGACGTGAGCAACAGTGTTCTTACAATCAGTGTGGTGCAGAACACTATGTCGCAGCCTGAACCCCCTCAACTTAAACCTCTCCTGGAGAGATGACACCCAAGATTTATCAAGGGATCTGTGATTGCAGCTGTAAGTATGAACTCGTGGGCGAGCTAGCAGACAAACTCGCGAGGCTGCAGCTTCCACGGCCGTTGCACTCAGCCGCAGTAGCTAGTTCGAATTTTCACGGATGCATGGATCCAACTCTAGAGCCACGGAATGCAACATAAACTAGGTTTAGGAGCGGATAGATGCCAGCCCCTTGGTAATCCGGCATATGGGTGCCGCGCAAAGTTGGATGAAGGCAGCGTGTGGGCGCCGTCAGCCAACCGGGTCCTCCGACCAGACTGGCCGTGTCCGTGGAGTCCGATCCACGCCTTCCGGGCTGCCTCTTGTTCGCGAAGCAAGGTAATCATTAACCTCCTCTAGGGTTTGTAGGGTCTTGAGTCTTACATTCAGCATAGACTTGCCTTTTCCATGGCGAAACTCTGCAAGTAAGGCCTTCAGCCGAGGAGCTGAGCGACAGGTGGCTGCTAGCAGTGCAGGAGGAGGATGCAGCTGCTGCCGGCTACTGTGCACGGCTCTGCGAGACCTTGCGGGGTGCAGAAGCCTTTGCAGAGAGCGACGGCCTGGATGCCTTCATTTCTGTGGCAATGGGCCAGTCAATGAAGGGCAACGGTGGCTTGATGGTGGCCTTGGCTCAGGCATTGGCGATGGACATGACGCCCTTCAAGGAAGCGGTCTTTGAGACGTTGTGCGCTGCGGCGCAGTGGCCATCTTTGAAGGGGCGTATTGCAGGGTCAGGTGTCCTAGGTGTGATTACCGCCACACTGCTCTCGCCGCGTCACCCAGCCACTGTCAAGGCGCTGATGGTGAGGCTTTGTGGCCTTTTGGCTGCAGACTCGCTGGAGGCCATCAGCCTGGGGGATGCCCGACGTGCTGAGGAGTTTTCGAAGCTGAGGGGCCAGCTGATTTCATCCGGTGCAATCAAGGCAATCGTGGGTCTGTTGGCAGCTTCAGAAGGTCCGGCCGCTGCCGCAGCTGCCACGGCAGTCGTGCAACTCGCCTTGGCAGGGGACGTTGCCATCCGAACCGAGCTACTGCAGGCAGATGCCGCCACGGCACTTCTCCGATGCGCAGCTCGTCTGTCAAAGGCCGGGACGGAGGAGATTTCTGACAGTGACGCAGACACGGAAGAGGATGCAGCTCCAGAAGCTGCCACAGCTGCGCTTGCGCGTCTCTTGGCGTTTGATGGCGACGGCTGTCAGGAGACTGGGCATGTTTAGCCAAATTGAAACGAAGACTGACCGGAAGAACACAGCATAGAAAGCTGCTTTCAGCGAAACTGTACTCGTCCATGCCATGCAAGCTTCTCATGTTCACTTCGCCCCCGAGGAGCTCTTGGCGCCGGTACTGGAGCCCGGCGCCCTCAAGGACTTTTGCGACGCGTTGCACGGCAACGGCCAGCGCAGAGCATTGGAGCAGGTCCTGCGATGCTTGGATCTGGCAGGGTCCCGACACGAGGCCTGGCCGGCTTTGGAAAAGGAGCTATGCGAGGACCTTCGGAAGATGCTGGTCCTTCACCGGAGCGATGCAGCTGCGGCTTACCTCCAAGCCCTGATGTCCCACTTCGGACAAGAAGCGACGCTGCGCAGCTGCGGCGACCCGAAGTCCCTGCAGCGGGCGCTGGAACCCCTTTCCGGCCCTGGGGCCTCCGCTTTGAAGGCGAGTTTGGCCACCCAGGCAATGGCGGGGCAGTGACCGTCGACCGTGAAGCTTCACGAGCAGACCGACAGCGAGAAATTTCAAGGTCTCTATTCCGGGGCCATCTGCCGACAACATCAAGCATCTCTATCTCTCTCTCTCTCTCTATCTCTCTATCTCTCTTTCTCTGTCTCTTTCTCTTTCTCTTTCTCTTTCTCTTTCTCTCCCTCTCCACACACAGGTTACACAGCCTTCGAGTGCCGCTGAAAATACATGTTCCCTGTGGTTAACCGTGTGACCCCATTCGGCATGATGCTTAAAACTCTGCGTATAGTGGTGAAGGTTGCAATTCCCGCAGTGCTGGAAGGACAGGGATAACAGCATTAAAGAGACCCTAAAGTAAAAAAACAGCCCCCCATATTCAACAATCGAACGAGAACGACGTGCTTGTGTCTTTCAAGACATATCGTCAGCTTCTGCTGGCCTCCAACCTTAATGCCCAAATCTCATAACCCCAAAGCCCTAAAAACCCAAGCTTCAAACCCCAAAGCCTCAAAACCCTAAGAAACCGGAAAACCTAAAGCCCTACAACAACCTGAACTCCTCTACCCACCCAGCCTTTCACAAGTTGCCAGGTGCCGCCACCCTAACAGCGAGAAATGGTCGGGGCAAGTGCTCCTGCAGAACATCACACAGGTGGGTGCCAGCGGGTCGTGCAGGGGAGTGGGGAGAATGGAGCTGTAGCTCAGAATCTAAGGGTTTCGGCTGCTGAGGCGTAAAGTCCAGGGTGTTGGGATTTGGGGGTTCAGGGATCGTGGGAGAAGGGAGGGATCTATACGACGGGGTTCATGGTGGAAGTCTTTGGGTTCGGCGGGAATCCCTTGCAGGGCTTAGCGTTTAGGAGCACTCGTGCAGGCGCAACATGCATTCAGATAGGTTAAAACAGAATCTACAAGTGAGTAAGAACAGATGTACAATGTATCTACATAATGTCCAATCGGTCTACCTATCTATCTGTCTGTCTTTCTGTCCATCTGTCTTTCTCTCTATCTCTCTATCTAATCTATCTATTTGTCTCTCTATCTATCACTATCTATCACTATCTATCTATCTATCTATCTATTTATCTATCTATCTGTCTCTCTATCTATCCATCTATCCATCTATCCATCTATCCATCTATCCATCTATCCATCTATCCATCTATCTACCTATCTATCTATCTATCTATCTATCTATCTGTCTATCTATCTATCTGTGTGTAGATTCAGAAAGGGATTATGAAACGGCTATCCATGTTGATACAAACATAAACATACACATGATTATGAATGTATGTCTAATGCTTGTCATTTTTTGCTTGTGTGTGCAAATCCACATCAGTGGATAGACGGAGCTGTGTTCGAGATTCCAGAGTGTTTCGCAGACCCTGTAAGCGATTTTCGAAAGTACCTGCTGCCGCCCGGAAACAGTAGACAGAGTGCCCAAAACCCTAACCCTTAAACTGCAGGCCTTGGAGAGGTCTGGGACGTAGGGTTGAGATCTGTTCCTTTTCTTACTATATTGCAAATATACTCCAGAAGCCTATTCTAATTATTGAATGCTTGCGAGCTTGGGTTGTTTTCGCTTTGTGAGAACCTCCGGCATCAGAGGCGCGATCCTCGGGGTACTGAAGCCAAGTTTCACACAATGGGTTGGCAGGACATAGATAGATTGGCAAGCGGATGGCACGCAGGCCGCTCAGTGGTCGGCAGGTAGGGAGGCAGGCAGGTAGGGAGGAAGGCAGGCAGGCAGGGAGGGGTGGTGCCCGCGGAGTCCGGGATGCCCTCGGATCCTCTGCCCAAAACCGACAGCAACATGTCATCAAACCCAAACCCGATAATCGCGAGACGTTCACACACCGAAGTCGCCGGGAGATCTTCAAAAAATAAGGGTAGCCCTGAGTCCGCGCCCACCATCCCTAAATCCAAAGCACCCATTCTCCCCTGGACTCTACACCATAACTAGTCCCAAAGCCCCCCAAACCTTGCCGGTGTCGAACCCCCTCCACACGCCAAACTTCCGTCAACATTCCCAAACCCAATGGAACCCTTAAGAACCCTCATAGATACCCCTTGTAGAGGCTCTACAGAAGCTTTCTAGAGGCCTTATAGAACCCTTACAGAGCCCTTATGGAGCAATGGTCAGCTGTTGGGTTGGCAGCTTCTCCTTCGAGCTTTGTTGCTCGGGAGCCTGGGGCGTCGGCTTGGCGCACCTCGGAGTGCATCCGGTTTAGGGCGTAGGTTTAAGGCTCTGGGGCTTTGGTTACTATAGTTCAGGGTTCGCACAAGGTTTCTGCGAGGCTCCAGGCTCTAGGCGGTTCAGGACCAGCACGCAAGTGGCAAGAACTTTCCCGACCCGCACTGCTATGTTTGACAATGTCATATCGTGATAGAACTGAGGCTGTGGTGCCACCCGCGCTTTTCTGACACCACCCTGAAAAGGGAGAATACAGCCAGAATCCCCAAACCCCTCAACTGTTCAGCCACCGGGATGCTGATGCACAGATCAGGGTTCGGGCCTTCTGTATAGCTCAAAAACGGATTGTCGAATGCCTTGTGCACTCCGTGAATCCAGACTGGAGGTCCTGTTGGGACGATGCCTTCAATTGGGACAGTTGCTGTGCCTGGCTTAGCATTGGGGGTGCCATGGTATTTGCAACTAGCTCATAAGTGCACATGAACTCCACCCATGCGTCCGAAGCCCGAAACTTGAGGCCACGGGAGCCCCGAATGACGGCTGAGGTGTACCCGAAATCCAACAGCGCCTTATCAACGACGGTTGCGACCCGCAGGATGTGGAGGACTGCTGATGAGATTCAATCAATCCAGCCGCAACTCTCGAGAATGCAACCCGATGGCTATTGACTCCGGGTAGTTGGCCCATACCCAAGCGCTAACTCCCATCAGCCGAAACTATATGGGTAGTTCTCTAAATTGGGGTCCCTTTGCGGGTCCTTTTTATCAGGGTGCTGTACTACATTGGGGATCCAAAAAGGGACCTTAATCTAGAGAACTACCCATATGCGTGGGGTGTCGGGACGATCTGATGTGGACGCAGATGGGCAGTTCTCCAAATTAGGGTCCCTTTTAGGTCCCCATTATAGTACGGCACCCTTATAATAAGGACCCCAATTTAGACAACTACCCAGATGTTGGCAGAGATGGTGGTGCAGAGTCTGCCGGTTGTCGGGCTTTGGGCCAAAGGCTCGAGTCGATCATCGCTTGTAAAGACTGCCCGCCATAGTATCTTGGCATACTTCTAGTGCTTGGGACTATCTGACATAAACCACGATATATATATATATATTTATATTTATATTTATATTTATATTTATATTTATTTATTTATATAGTTATATATATATATATATATACGGCATATATGCTTACAATATAAAATAATATGATATGACATAGTAGAATTGAATATAGCTAGTACTACTACTACTACTACTACTACTACTTCTGCTACTACTACTACTACTACTACTACTACTACTGCTACGAATATAGCTAGTATTACTACTACTACTACTACTACTACTGCTACTACTACTATTGCT